TTAAAAGGGGATGAACAATAAAAAAACAACAACAACAACATACTGGAAGGACGAGATACATTTAGGTGGCGCTCATCTAGGGCTTCATTTTAGAAAAATAATCAGCAGCCGTACTAAAGCACTGGTACACTCTGTAGTATTTTCTCGGTTCGAAGCGACGTATACCGGATGCATACTGGACGCGATACGGGAAATTACGCGCAAGACTCCTTGGGGGTGGACGCGCGAGTGTATTATTATGGCGGCAGAAGGGGGTAAAGGGTATAGAGTGTGTATATATACCGCGGGAAAGAGCGATGCTCATATCTTGTGTACCTTGGCTCTTTCTCATCGTATATTATGCTGTGGCGTGTACGAAGGGGGGGGGGGTTGGTGCGAGAGAGAAATTACGCGTCGGGAGACAGGATGACGGGGGGTCGGGAGTTTGCCGTGCGCGTGAACTTGACGCCGAGATAAACGCCTCGGCGAGAGATAGCGCGTCTTCTATGAGTTTAGTTTTGCTAGAAAGGTATATGTGTATAGTCGAGTTGGGGGGGGGGGTGAATTTGCCTGGTGGTTGTTGCGCACCCTGGGCATGCATACACTTGCTCGTGGTTATAGCCGATTCTGTTACTATGGTAAACAAAAAAAACAAAAAAAAAAAAACAAAAAAAAACAAATACGTTTTGCGTTCACAAGAAGGGCCAATCTCGCATGAACTTATGGACTGCAGAAAGACGCTTTCTCGTCTCTTTGACAAACATTGCTGTCCTCGAGTATACATAGTGGCGGTACTGTACCACAGATCGTGTCTCGAGACGTATCGAAAGTAAAGAGTTATCACCTCTCTTTTGTCCATATGCCGATTGAACCGTGGCAGAAGGGTCGAGTTAAAACTGAACAACTTTTTCGAGGACGGTATGCAAGTAGATTTTTTGCTTGGCGGTTTGCGCGTACCCCACGGTTACAACACCTGTAATCACGGGGAATCAAAGCAGCGCGCAATTTTGTCGACCCATGTGTTGTATGAATTTTAAGCCCATTGTTTTTATCCTTCACTTATTGATACCTTCGTAATAACTCGACGAACTTCACGGAGCTCCAAAAGTTTTTCTCGGACCGTAGTGTGTGGAAGTTGCAAATTGCTCGCCGATTCGAAACGCTTTCAATAAACACCGCGTTCACTCGCGAGCCAATTGAAACAGGCGCGCGAACGAGGTAAAAGCCCCAAAGTACACACGTTTGTAATCGAGAGGGATTTCTTTTACTCTGCGTTACACATACACACGTACGGCATAATATGGACGACAATGTGCTCTTACCAGCGTCGCAGGGTGGAAAAGAGACGGTGCGAAGTGTCTGCGTAACGAAAAAGAAACAAAAATTGGAAAGGTATGGTGGGGAGGGGCATCCGTGCAGGTGCAATCAACGAGGGAGGAAGGTAAATTACGCGGGCAAATGAAAAAAAACATTGTAAACGAAGTCGAGGGGGATAGGGTGCAACCGAGCGCTGCAGAGGAAGAGCAGGGTATATGAAAACAACGAGCGAAAGAAGAATTTCGATGAGATAAGGATGCGACGACGCGCGAAAGGAGAAACATAAACGCGTATATACTGAAGCATCACGAGAGATATCTTTCTGCCAACGTCGCGATTAGCCCATCCCCCTCCCCCTCCTGCCCTGAAATTAGGACGGTGGTGGATATATACGTCCGCACACGTATGTAAGCCAACCAAGTGTATAGTACCGGTGCACGTATAATTTCGCCGAGCTTATTGGGTGCTCCAATTTTTCGCAAACTCCCAACGTGCGCCGTGTTTTTTCTTTGTTTTTGCACCCCCATCCCCCCTTTCTCGTATGACGCTTTTCTTTCTCTCTCTCGCTCTATCCGTATGTATGTTTGTTTGCAGCGTTTGGTCTTTTTTTTTTTTTTTTTTGGCTTATTTTCCGCGTTTGCTTTCCCCTCGCGTCGCGTAAAATGAAGTTTATCGGAAGTAAGAAGGAAAAATAAATAAACGCGAGGAGGCCAACTCGAGTGCAATTAGTTATTAGCCGCGCTCGGGAGATTGATTTTTAATTGCACTTTTTTACGCGCAACTTGGACTTTTCTCCCTACAGGTACAGGTGCTCCCGCCCTAGTTGGATCCAAAGTATGATCGCTCGTTCCTAGGTTTATAAATACAATGTACAGGTATACGCGCGCAGGGGATGATACTTGAACGCGCTAATTATCGGGACGAATAATGACAACATTGATGCAGAGAAAAACGGGGGGGGGGGGTAAATAAGAGCGAAGAAGCACTGCAGTAATTGCGTAATTAATTGAAATGGCGCTTTTGTCGTGACGCCTCATTTGCGGATCTAGGGGTAGGGGGTAGCCGCTACGTAGGCAGTTGGGTGGATTATCGGTTTTAATTATTTTAATAATTTCTTTCATCTTCGCTTGGGCGTATACCTTGGAGAGTTCGACGAGGAGGTTTAATTAAAAATCAATTTCGCGACAAAGTCGGTCACGAGGAGGATTTTTTTTTGCTCTTGTGGTGTTTCGATAAACGAGGTTTTACTCTTACTTTTGTTTGTCATGTAATAACTTGTGCGTCTGCGTTTGCCAGCGAAAGTCGGAACAATCCGATTTATCATATTAATCGAGAATTCGTTACAATTACTTTTGGGTATTGCGGTATTGTTGGCATTTTTTTGCCCTCGGGAACGAGTTGCCCTTTTTTTTTATTTTTTAAACGCAGTGAGATCTTTGTATTTTTTATGCCAAGTATAAAAAGGCGTTTTTTTTCCCTTTCATTGCAAAAAGACTGTTTAAAAAAATTCTCGCAGCCCTCTTTGTCTCCAACTGTGAATAAAAGAGGTCAAATTTTTTTTTTTTTTTTCCTGCGTGGATTTATTATTTGTCGTTTTGAAAGTATTGTATTGAGGGTCACTCCAAGAGTTGTACGTATAAAAACATACTCTCATAATACTTAAGGTGGTCTCAATCGCAAGTATTGACGTAGCTGAGGAAAAAAAAAAAAAAAAAAAAAATACCTTGATCCAGAAATAAACGTAAGGCGCACCGTATGCGCGGGACGTATAAACCTACCTGTAAAAAAAGGGGTGGGGGATTGACGAGAAAGTGGAAAGTCGTACAGGCGAAAGAAAAACGGCAAGCCGTCATTTACCAATGGCCGGCGAGCTCGTGCCAAAACTAAGAGTAATCCTCGTGGGTCCGGGAGGGAAGAGCCACGGGAGTACGGCTCTTAATTACTTCCAGGGGCGAAGGGGGGCTGGGGTGGGTAGCTTGACTCGCGCGAGGAGGGGCGGGAGTGGCCAGTAAAGCCGGCGCGGCCGGAAATTGCCGGGTCCGAGTGTCCGGCTGAGGAGCCACTGTGTATATACATGCATAGTCCGACACGCGAGCCGAACCGCCGGGAAATCGTGTAGCCCCTTCCAGACTGTGGGAATGCATTAAGTGAACGGGCGCGTGACCTTTTTTTTTTTTTTTCTCACGAACACGCTCGATTCAGCAGTTTTTAAATTCCAGGACTCGCGGACGACTGCGTGGGGTGGGACTTGAAATCGATGGGTATTCCGTTCGGCAAAGTTGTCCACTGCAATAGCCACTGTACATGTACTTGTCTCCGCGTGGATGATAAATTTAATAGTTTCCGTGCTTACAGCAGTGGGTCAATGGGATTTTTCGATACTCCGAAATCACTTGAGACTGGTGTATTTATCGCACATGAATCTGGAAGTGTAAGTAGCGAGAGCGGATTTGCATTCACGATGACAGTGCCATTATTTAACAAAGTGTACATTTGCGCGAATCAATGTTGGTTGGAAATGTCATACGCAAATAGTACCTACAACTGAAAAAAAGCTCCAAAAGCTTGAAAACGGGTTACCGTTTCCGCGAGTGAAAAGGTATACATTTTGCAATCTCAGTAGGAGAAAGTGTGAGACAAAAACGTCACACCGATACTTCAATTTAAATGCATATACACGCACATATAATATATGAAAGAAAACAAAAAAACTTGGCTCCTCCGCATGCTGTAAACATACATGTGACAGGTAGAGATAGTCACTGGGACATTAGAATTATCTCGAAACCCGCGTGAAAATTGATCCCATCTCTAAATGGCACACATCGTTTTGCGGTCTTTGTGCGAGCTCGTATTTTTCCAACTCGGTTCGCTTGGAATCCACAATCATGTGTTTTTCCTCGATGAAAGGACGCGCTCGCATTACTTGCTTTTCGTGCTCCATAAATTTTCGTGCTACCCTATCGCTATTATAAAAAAAAAAGAGCGAAAGCCAAAACGTTTTCTTAAAGTTACTTACTCCCCTTCCGCTCTCGGGAGACAGAAATAGCGCGACAACAATTATTTCGACAGGGAAAAGTGAAGAAGAGAGTGCACGTGCTGCACGGCTTGGGCGCGTAAAAAGCGAGCAAAGTTTTCGAAGCCATGACAATAAGAGTCGTTTAGAGTCCATTAAAAGCCGAGCGAGCCTCGGGAGGACGAGGAAAAAAAAATAATAAAAAATAAAAGACACGACACACGCTACTCGAGATAAGAGTTGCGGACGTTTGCAACCAAGTTTACGTACATTGTAGCTCTTGCGCGCGCATATACGTACGCATTCTCGAATGAGCACGGCAACGAGGACAACTCTCTCTTCCTCGTTATTTACCATCTTTTTTTATTTTGTAGTGCTTTTTTTTCTTTTTTTTCCACCAAACTCGACGTACAAGTCAAGAAAAGAAGAGGGTTAATGCGACAACGCCATCACTACCACGTTTTGTACATGGTTTCTGTACTCCATTTTTTTAAAAGAAGGGTTTTGATTATTGCATCAGTGTTATTTTTTTTATTTTTTTATTTTTTTTTTTAATCAACAAAAACGACGGTACACGTATAAGTAAACAAAAAAACCTCACATAAAAAAAAAAAAAAAAAAAAAAAATGCAGAAAAAAATATCCAAAACATTGTCGAGAAGAATACATGTATGAATATTCGGTATCAGGACTGGTAAGTGGCGGTCCTCACGAGAAGAGATTGCTAAACGACCTGCTGGATTCGTACAACGTGCTGGAGCGCCCGGTCCAAAACGAGTCCGAGTCCCTGCGGCTGAGCTTCGGCCTTACGCTTATGCAAATTATTGACGTTGTAAGTTTTACTGAGATTTAAAAAAAATCAAAACAAAAAACAAAAGAAAAAAACAACACGTTTTAACAATTAGTCAAAAAAAAACAACAACCAAAACTTGAAATTTTGATCATGTTGAAGTTGAACATTTTTTTTTATTCCCCTGTGCAAATCCCATATACAAAACATTATATACATACAGAGTTTGAAAAAAAAAAAAAAAAAAAAAAAAAAACAATCACACAACAATAGCAATGCTCATATTGATGACACACAAACACACCTTTACACGCACACGTACTCATCAACACAAGCGACACACGAGCATACACACGTACATTCGACATTGACTTTTTTATTTGCGTGTTTTCCTCTCCGCTGTTTTTCTTTATGTCTCTCTCTCTCTCTCTCTCTCTCTCTCTCTCTCTCTATCTCTCTATGTGTCTGTTTTCAGTTTTTTCCCTTCTTGTTTTACACTTTTTTTTGTTTTTTGTTTTTATTGTTCTCTCTTTTGTTTTCATTTTTTTTTCTTCCTGTTCTTTCCTACATGCCCTCCTTGAAAAACCACTCCTGTGCTCAGCAGTACCATTCACGATTACTCCGATGCACTAAGAAAAGAGTTTGCTTCTACTTAGCGAAGAAAAAGTGCATTTTCTTAAAACCCTGCGAAAACGTTTATCGCCGGCTGAGATTACTTTCGCGACTCTAGTAAAATATTGTTTCACTGTATTAAAAAAAAAAAAAAAAAAAAAAAAAACTTTCATCGCAAATTTTTTTTTCTCTTTTTCATATAGCTTCTGCGGATGTTTTCAAAAGTTTGTGACTCCAATAAAGCTGGATGGTAATTTTACCGGGCACTCCTTACTTTTTACGTGCATACCTAATTGTCTTTATGACAAGTCATTATCGATTCATGAATTTCAGTGGGTTATAGAAAAAAAAATTTCATTTCAATTGCAAAAGCAAAAGTTCATTGTTGACGAAAATTTTATAAATTTGCTTTATGGCTTTGTACATTGAAAATAAACGAATTTATTTGGATAATGTTCGGTGGAAAAAAAATATAAATAAATTCAAAAAATCAAAAATTAAAAATTAAAATATGCTCTATTATGAGACATGAATATGGAAAAAAATTGTATTGTACTAATGAATAAAAATTTTAACTTTGCTAGCTGATAAGTGGCTCGATTCAATATTAAAAAAAAAAAAATTGCGTCAGCCTCAGAGGGCAAACTCTTTTCTCGCTTCGTCTTTCGCTCTACACAGAGAACAATTTAGTTGGCTCAACTAAGCTTTTTCACACAGGTGGTCTTTATTTGCGATTTTGTTTGGAAAACTAAAACATGATGAAAACGAAAAAGTTCATCCAACTAAAAGAAATTTCTCTGGCTCTTACTTACTTACTATACTGTAAAATTAACTTACCAACTATTACTGCTATACTGTTCTATTCAACTCTGCTGAAAAATCGAACGATCTATCTTGTTTCCTCACTTGACTAATTTTTGTTTTTGTTTTCTCACCAGCTTGCACGTCACTTAACAATAGCCTCTCGTCATCAAAACACAATTCATTCGTCACTTTTTCCACGTCTCACCAAAACTCTGGCCTGAGCAAGTTTTCAATACTCTTTACCCATCTATCTCCACCCTGACTCATTTTTGCCTCGTTAGTTTTAAGCTTTCATTAATTTTCACTCCGTCACAATCACTTGTCCACGCACCCATCACCGGCTATTCCCTCGCTTGTAGCAGCTAGTCGCAATTTTTTCATTCTATGATTTTTCATTTCTCACTGTGCTTGCCATCTCTCTTTCTTTCTCTCTTTCTCACTGGCTTCTCTTCTTCTTCTTCTTTTTCTACTAGCTACTTCAATTTAATAAATTTTAATTATACTTTTCAGTCTATTACGAAAACGCACCTCTGCCATGCCTTGATTGATTAACTCTAGTAACTCCCTCCACACTTTTGTTCTTTTACTATTATTATTATTATTATTATTATTATTATTATTATTATTATTATTACTTTTTTTAATTTCTCTGTTTATAAAATCGACTTTCCTATTGACACACAAATTGTAAATATATTCTGGATTGCCAGTTATTTATATCAAGTATCACGATACCCTGTCACGAGTACAAATTTTTTTTTCCACCCCCGATAATCGGTTGTTTTTTTCTCTGTTCAAGTAGATGTACTGATTTTGCATATGAACCTTTTTTTTTCACTCCAAGTAATAATAAATTTATTCTGTAATAATTTTTTTTTTTTGNATCTTCCGTATATACGGCGACACGAGGGCACGATCACTTGGCGAAGTAAGAGAGTATTGTATCCTTCCTCTGTTTTTTTTGTTTTTCCACAAAAGTCAAGGCCTCGCGCGACGACGAACTTGACGGTAACTAGAGGGATAACACGGGAGGGGGTGCGTGTTTAAGTGGCCGTTTTCACGAGAGCCTCGCGGCACGGTAAACAAGCCACGCGGTGCTTATGCAGGTCTCCGTGTCATTAAAACCCAAGTCACGGCCTTCGAGCCGAGTTAGCCCTTTAATCCTGCCTATACGCCCTCACCGAGCGGGTCCACGCACGACTATTACGGCCAATCTGGGCTAATACCCTTGCCCCGACCCAAAGACACTTATATCATACAATGCATGGAAACGTTACAAATTGAATGTGGATCTAATGATTGTTACTATTCCAACTGTATTTATCTGTTTGTTTCCGATGTGATAAATGTGCGAAAAAAAAACGCGCATTCGAGACTTGTCGCACCACGAAAGCCCGTGTATAAAGTTTCCAAATTGAATATCACGCGCGTGTACCCTTGAATACCCCACCGGTGATCCAATATAAGAGCAACGCAATTCATTTACCCACTGTACGCTTACTGTCACTCTCGCCAACATACGGATACATGGTAGTCATTTCATCCCCTTCCTTGTCGCGGGACGTAACGATTCGTACCCTTTGCCCCTGGATCCAGCCCTCTCGCAGAAGTTTCAAATGTATGGAGGAGGGGAGTTGAGTTGTCGAGGGCTCAAAACAAATCCAACGTAATCACTCTGGAGTCGAGATTACGCGCTTGCTATCAAGCTTTTCCTCCGGTACGGTGTACACATGTGGGGGGAGGTGCCTCCCTCCTTTCTTCAGTAGATGACCAAGAAACAGACGAACGAGACTCGCATAACAATACACCAACGCGTCTCTATTTGTGTGTACGTGGGGGAGAAAGGGAACTGCGAGACTGATGGTAAGCGGGATTAGCCCCGAGGATTATGTAGGTATGGAGGGGCCGGGGCTGTCCGCGATGCACGGAAGAGATACACTCCCGCGGGACGTTGATTTAGGGACTATGGAGTATGCGTTCAACAACAAGGTATAGGGGTGCACCGACGTCACGGGTGGATGGTGAAAAAAAAAAAGAGAAAAAACGCGAGAGATGCTGCTATACGGATATGTAATGATGATGGACATCATACATATATACATGGCCTCGGCAATTATGCGCACGTACACGCGGGTAAATATACACACTTACACGGATATAGATTACACTTACCCGTGGATAGGAGGGGGTGGGGGTGGGCTCGTAAATCGTCGATGAATTATACAAAAGCGAGAGCGCGGGTATAAACACTGGAACGCTGGATGAGCGCATAGACGGCGCGGAGTGAATATTTACGCGAGTCTGCATAATGGAAGAGGGAGTTTTATAGCGCGTTGTAAAATCGACATATACTTACACGGATGTGTATACGTGGGCTCGGGTGGTAAGTGATTACGTGAAACTGTAGTTGTTCTCGGTCCAAGTAAGCCGGGCATTCCCTGGGTATCGCGTGAGATTTCGGGTGGATTTTGATGCGGGCACCTACCGGCTACACGGGGCGGGGGTTGGGTTTGGGGGGTCGAAACGTGTTTAATCGAACGGGCTCCGGGGTTACCCGTAGTCGCGGTCACTCGTACAGAGGGAGATGCCGCTTCGGTGGGGAATCACTGTGCCGGCCGGTGGCTCGGGAGACGCGTGTGTACGCGCGGTGATGGAAGATCAGTCTGGCACACGCCACAGCTGTATATATATACGTTTATAAATGATTGGAAGAAAATGGCAAAAGCCAGAGGTAATGGGCAAACGGGGAGCCGAGGGTATAGTTGAAAGGGGCTTTATGGGATCAGTGCGCTCGCACGAGTGGAAAAGGAACGAGGAGAGTCAGTTTTGCGGGCTATTTTCCTCGTCAGGACGAAAAATATGGTTTCCCCCTTGCACTTGTATACACATACATGCGTATGTGTGGGGTATTTATGCGGTGGCCGCGCTTCAACTATCGGCTGCTGTGCTCGCATTCTTCCCCTTATTTCCTCACTCGCAAAGAATATCCCCCTTCGGCCTCCCTCTTTCGGCCCTTATCATCGGCAGATGAGGCAAAGAGGAGAAGGCGGCATAATCCAGCAGCGTTCGAGGGATCAGACGGGAATCTAATTATTCGCCTGTTCGGGAGATTAATGCGCGAGCGAGATTTCACCGGGGCCCGGAAATTCGGATTTCATTAGCGCGATTTCGGAATGCCTCGGCTGGAGCAGGATGCACGAGATTCTTCTTTTTTATTTTTTCTCCTTCTCTCTCTTTCGATACGTGCTCTTTAGTTGATTGTACGGATGTTTACGGTGCGCGAGGTAAACGGGAATGGGGGAAAAAAAAAATTGGTTCTCCTGACTTTACTGGCCGAAGAGAGTTATGATCTGGACAATGAAAACTGCTCGACAAACCAATGCATTGCAGCCAAAGTAAAAAGTGAGAAGTACTCATTGAATACAGGTACGCTTTAAGTTACAGATCATCATGGAAAAAACAAAGTGGTCAAGCTTGAAATTCCATGCCGATGCGATACACAAGATTTGATAAAAAGTATAACTGAGAGAAGAAGAAACGATAACAAAGCGTGTCGAGAGAGTGTGCTCTGATTCGGCGGTTGGGGGAGGGTGCCGGCGAGCTTGGATTAAATCACAGAGACGAGG